ATGAATTTTGTTTGAGTCTGAATTCATGAACCAGGGATCTTTCCTTTGAACTTCATTTCCTCTTCAGAAATAGTTCAAAGCAGTTGGAGAGCATGAATGCCAAAATCAAGCCTGAAAACCACCACAGCCTTACTTTAAAACACTTCATTTTTCTCCTGAGAGTTCTGCTGTTGCTTCCCATGGCTTGTCAAACAACCAGATTTAGCACAGGATCTGCTGTTCCCATTCATCATGAGTCTCAGGACTGAGGCACTCCAGCTGCTCTAGGGCTATACCCTTAAAAGTGATCTTGCTGTGATGTTACAACAGCCTGTAGTTATGACCTTGGCTATTTTTGACAAAGAGATAAAGATGAAATAGGTTCTTGTTCCTAATGACATCTTGTACAAAACATCCTTTCCAAGGAAACCTATGTTATCCATATGTACACGTTATGGATCAGGCTATGCCAGACAGCAGCACTATGATCTCTCTCCCCTAGGTGACACAGCAAGAAAGATGGTTTGGTGTTATTATGCCAACATCTCTTTAATTACACTTTGGGCAAGTACTGTGCTTTCTCTCAAAACTACTAACAAATCAAACACTTTGAAAACCTCTTTATTTTTTCACTACAACCTCTGTGCTTGTTTACTTGGAAATTTCTCAACTTGGCACACACAATTTTGGAAGATTTTTTACTTTTAATTCAGGGTTCTTAACCTGACCTTTCTTTTTCCTACCTGTTGCCCCTTTTTTGAGAATCCCCTGTTAACCAGAAAGATTTCTGTGGCCTTCCTCACAATAATGCTCTTGAGAGTCAAAATGGTCTTCAATAAAATGACCTGATTAACATCTTGAAAGAAAGACCCCCTTATTCCTCACAGGCCTGATGATTTCAATGAGACCTTTGTATAGATTTCACCAAAGTTTTTTTAGCTGTTTCTTCAAGACTAACTCAACAACCACCTAAACAATTAAAGCAGATCAAAAGTCCTACTTGTTTAAGGATAAGCTTAAATTCTTTGCTAAGGATGGGGGCCTAAGGGCCTGTAAATACAGATGGTGTGAGCAAGACCCAGAAGAGGCCAGGTAACCACCAACAGGCAATTATATCCCCCCCAGAACTTCAAGCTGGTATATCACACTGTTTGAAGCTAATTGCTTTGAAATAATTGGGAAGGTGAGCAGGTAAGTTCATACAGAGCATTTGCAATCTTGCTTTGTATTTAAAAAAACAACAGTCCAGATTGCATGGACAAAACAGGCATGATTCAATAAAACAAGTTAAAAGGGAAGGGAGAGATATGCAGTGGTTTTTTTTAAAATATTTTCCTTTTAATTTTTAGCATCATTAAAATGCTAAAAACATTTTGCTCAAGAGCTTCTTTAGTTAATACCTCATTACTTCTCTTTTTATTGTTATGGTAATCAAGCCTTAATATATTGCAGCTTTATAGCATGAAATCAAGGCTAGGCCTGTGGGCATGGACAGATGTACGACAGCATGCAGTAAAACACAGGTACAGAGACATGCAGAGCTGAATATGGCACTGGGGCTTTTTATAATTGTTTAGCAATTCATCTGAAGTTATTTTAACCTTGACAACAGATGAACTCTAACATGTACCATGATCAGTCACTGGAAAGCTGCACTGAAAAGCAAGTTTTGTAACTGTTGTCTTACAGGCTGGGTTCTAGGAAAGCATGAAACCAAGTGTAAGCAAGATGATTAAATTGTTTGCATGACTACAGGCAGTACCTGAAACTATTCAACACATTTAATTGAGAATATTTTAGCCAAGGGAGAATGGTAATGCTGGGGAACTGAATTTTACACCAGAACTTTGCCTCTCCATGGGAAACTGGGGCTCAGTGTCAGAATTCAGACCCCCTCCAGGCATAGGCACACCAAAGAATATTTGGATCTGACTTCTGGTTCTGAAGTGACCCTTGGACCTTGTGCTGGAGCTTTGCTTATGGTTGAATTTCACCCATCAAATCAAGTAAAAGTTAGAAATAACTTTAAGAAAGTTATAATGGCTGTGTCTGCAGGGTGTTGAAATTGTATCTCAGAAAGAATGAGGGTCCTTAGATCTTCCTGGAGTAAATGACAACACACGACCCCCAGTGTCAGGGAGGCTCCACTTCTCAGTGGTGCTTTCAGCAGAGATCATTCAGGAAACCATTCCAGCTCCTGGGAGCTTTGCTAAATTTAAAGGGAGTGTTTTGGCTGGCGATTCCTCTCCCAGTGAAAGCACTTCAAACAGCCAACATGAAAAGCAATATGCCTGTGTCTGCATCAAATCCCTGATCCTGAGCAATGAATTGGGAAGTTCTCAAGCCCCACGGGTTTGGGATGGCACCATTCACCACCAGCCTTGGTTTCTCCTGAGCACACCCTGCAGGAACATCCCAAAAAGCCTCTGTCACTGCAAACATGTGGCCCTCACTGGTTACCCAGTAGTCATGAGGGAAAAGAAAGAAAGTAGGTACAGGTGACATTCCAGCAGAAGTGAAAATTGTTTTCTACATTATAACTGGATAACAGTAAAATATGATTTAACACATGGATCATATAACAGAAAAACCTGGTTAACCTCAGTTAGACAAAGCTTCCAGATTCCCCCCTTCTTGGAAATACTGGGAGTAACAACATGCTGTATTCAGCTGAAACATGAGATTTGTTCCTGCAAATCTTTGAATTTAAACAAAGTCTCCTAACAATGAAGAGTCACAGATTTCTAGTGTCAAGCACAAAGGTGAGCAGCTCTCAGGTGCAGTAAAACTGACTTTTCATCCTGGGGGCATTCCACTGGGCAGAGCCTGTGGGATCAGACCTTGGGACAGGAACACGTGTTACCCAGAACATAACAAGTGGAATGCAAGACAATGGGCACTATAGGCCAGCAAACACACTAATTATATTAATAAAAGGAAAGCTTAAATTTTGAAGCTAATCCTGGGCTATCATTTATAAAAGTTAACAGGGCATATTTAATTTAGGAATTGGCTAACACTTCTCTTTCCACCGCTGAAACCTCATAAATGAAATATACTGGATCCCTGCCCAGTGCGGAAATAAAAGTTATGAATAATGTTTCTATCTCAATCATTGTCAGTGCTTTAATATTCCTAATTACTTTAAAAAGCTAAATATTCAATATAGGAAAAACCTTCTTTTTCTTTTATCTCCACTTGCAAGATTAGAGCAATTTAATAAGAGTCACTGGGTAGTTTTAGTCCACAAGACCATTCTGTACTTTGACATCTTATCCTTTCCTGGCCATTTTTACACAGAATGAAGTGCTTTTTACTCTGTGAGTGCACATATGTATAAATGTATGGTCTACATATGTATGTCCTTATTGTCATAGTCTTTTTTTTTATTATTATTATTTTTAACTTCTGTTAGTGCACATGCACTGTACAAATACCCACTGGTAGGTTAAACTAAATCTAGTACTAAGAATAATCAAAACATTAAATGAGCTCCTGAGAATCTATACAATATGTCACAATTGATGGCATTATTTTTCTTTTTAAAAATATTTTTAAAGACAGATTTTCAGTATATCATGATGTCCAGTTTTTCCCTTGTCTACATTCCAGGTAATCCCAAAATGTTACATCAAACCCCATAGTATGGCCTTTGTTTCCATTCTTGGAACCATATAATCCCAGAACAGTTTGAGTCGGAGGGAGCTCACTGATCATCTCATCCCAACACCTGCCATGGGCAGGGCTGCCATCCCCACACCAGGTTCCTCAGGGCTCTGTCCAACCCGGCCTTGAATACTCCCAGGGCTGGAGCATCCACATCCCCTCTGGATTAAAGTCCTTCCTCCCTGCTCCCTTCCTGTTCCCTTTTCTGCTGGAATTGAGGGATATTCAGCAGAGCTGCAGACAAATCTCCCAGAACCCATGCAGGAATCTGCCCTGCTGCTTTCAGCCTCTGGTTGTGTTCACCCTCAGGCAAATTTACCTCCCATCCCCTTCACCCTCAGGCACATTTACCTCCCATTCCCTCCTAACTCCTCCCTCTATAGATCCCTTCTGTTACCTTCTTGCCTGCTAACCATGCTTCTTTCTTAAGATCCCAATCAATTTGGGAGAAAGGGAGGAAGCCAACACAAAACAAAACATCCATTCAGTTTCATTTCACAGCATCTCTCCCCATGCAGCTTTATTTACTTGCTTGATGCACAAATTGACTCCATTTATCAAGCTTATTTCTGTTATGTCAATAATGTCTCAGGTCTATGTTACATCACACTTGGATGTTTGTGCCGCCTGTTCCATTCCAGCATGAACCAACCACTTAAAATCACCATTCCCAATTAAGAGAGTTTAACAAACACAGCCTTGCCAGCTGAAAGAATTGAAAACCTCAAGTGTGGATTAATTCCCTAGTAAAAGGTGCAGAACTCCCAACTCCCATTTCCCTAACTTTGGCAGTATGGATTTAAGGAATGGATTGTAAGTCAGAGGAGAGAATCTGGGCTGCCTGAAAAGTCAATGGCAAAACTCCCACTGGCTTGAACAGGACGAGAATTCTATCTGGAGAGAGTGCTTTCCAAACAGCTCCAACACTCCACAGATTATTTCATGGAGAATGTGCTGTATTAAAGATTTGAGAGGGAAAATATTCTTTATGGAGTTCCATTATCTGTACTGGTATCCTAATAACAGAACCAAAAACATTAACAGCATCCTCCACTGCATTTCACATTTCTTTGCAAAACACAACCAAAAAAATCCAATGTCATTATCCTAGGAAAGGGCATTCTCACATATTCACAGAACCACAGTACTACAGAATTATTCTATAGTTCATAGAACAGTTCACAGGTTGGGGTTGGAAGGGACCTTGAAGCCCTTCCAACCTTTGTTCCAACCCAATATGAATTCTTACAAAATAACCAGCAGACAGCCTTCATTTTTCCATTCAAAGCATCCAAGTTCTAAGACCACTGCTTTATAAAACACATATTTTTATCATATTTGATATCTTTACTTACCACTTGAGCAATCAGTCCCTCCCCAGCCTGGTTCACAGTGACACGTGTCAGGAGAGACACATCTTCCATGCACACACTCCTCTGTGCACAGTGCTGTTGAGAGGAAACAACAGACAGCATTGTAAACATATTAAGAGATTGCTGAACATACCCTAAACAATGCCTTAGAGAGCAATATTTTGTTTAAAAATATTAAACAAAACAAACTCACAAAAAAAAATATTACTCTCAAGATTTAATTATTGCTAAGTGACCAAAATAAAATATAGGTCTCTTGACAGCGATAAATTCATTTGTCACTTCAGCCATGTAATGAAAAACTCGCATACCACAAATTCCTTTGGTTCGCAGTTTTGATTCATAATAAAGTTTTTTACCAAAGTGACATTTATTATTATTGTATTACAGAACAGCAGCTTCTTATATCACACTCAAATTGCAACTGCTCATAAGACAAAATGGAGCTCAATCTTGGAAGTGTATTAAGATCCAAAATAGATTTGTAAAAAACAGCTCTAAGAAAATAAATAATTTTACTCCATGATGCAGTGGCTGTAAGTGCATTTGTGTCTTTTCAAGGTCAGCCAGTTTTCCATTACTACAGTTCTCTGTTTCACTGGTAGAATATTGGAAGTTCAATATCCTCAAGTTGAAACCAAGACAAGCAGCTTGGCTGAGGAACAGCTCACAGTTTTTAGGATTCTCTTTTCCTGTGCTGTTTCAGTGTCTGACAGTTTCCAGTGTGTGCCCACCACATACTGAAGAACCTGGAGAGCACTGAATAACTGCTTTAAAGACTGAACTTTGCTGCTTACTACCTTGTTTCCATTTTACCACTTAGGACAATGCCAAAAAACTCTGTGTGTCAGACATTCAGACTGGATGGTTAAGTTGGAACACATCATTTCCAACTAGACCAACATGTATGAATTATTAATAAATATGATGCAGTGGCAATGAGGTCACTGTATTAAACTGTATGTACATATATAAAAAATACATTATTTAGATAGTTATAATTCTTTATTATATTATATTTATATACATTATATTATATATATAATATATTATATATATTATATATATTATATATCTTATTTATATTGTTTATAATATTTATATTATTTATAATATATTATTTTCTATTATATTATATATATTATAGTTGTTATTATATATTATATTTAGATCATATATAACCTATGGTTATATATATATATGGATATGGTTATATCCTGTGTTTTCATATCAGATGGGAAATGTGGGTTTTGAGTTTACTTAACCATGAATTACCTGAAGCTGGACTACAAAAGACTTATCCCAAGACAAAGATAACTCCTTCCTGCTTAAACCAAGGCTAGCATAGCTGATTTGAAGTAGCTTTGGGTTGATGTAGTGAAAATGGAGCTGAACCACCCAATTCTTTTGAAATCAGCCAGCAAAGCTTCTGGAAGTTTCCCTGACCTGCAGGTGAAATGAAAGCTGGAACCCTTTCAATTCCCAGATACCTCCTGCACCAACAGCTCTCCACCACTGCCTTGTAGCTCTGAATGAGTCCTGCTACACCTGAGGTTCTGGTTGGACTCCCAGACTGGATCACACCCTGGACCCACACCCAGGCTGCCATCAAAGCTCATGGAAACATTTTGCTGCCTATTCTGTGGTTGGGTCATTGCAGACCAAACCCACTGAGCTGTTCACAAAATATTTAAATCCAACTCCAAAATGCAGGTGAACTTAGAATAATCCTGTGGGACAAACTTTGCTGCTCTTTACCCAGCAGGTCCCACGTGACCAGTAATTAGAACGCTGCCTCGTTAAAACGACTGCAAGATCTCTCTAAATTAATCATTTCCTTTCTACGTTTGCTGCATGTCAAAAATGCAATTTATTCTTATTCCATATCTTGTGTTTAGACAGTATTGCAGTGGGCATGAAATATTCATAGCTAATCTCTAGTCACTAATTGTCCTAATCTTTTGGGCATTTATTTTACTCGAGTTAGGCTTTCTGGAGATAGTGAAGCATCCTACTCTACAGCTGTAGGATGAAACTCAGGACAGGACATAAGATAAACAGGATTTTCCCATAAAAATATACACACCTTCCTGCAATCATTTGAAAATGGCTGGTTATCCAGACCAGGGAGAAGTTCACATATAGAAATTCACAAACGTAGAGGTTTTTATTCAAACTACAGTGTGCTAAAAGATACAGGATGTGCTGGGATAGGGATACCTTGGGAATTGTGCCCAGCTTTAGCTGAGAGGAAATTTTTCATTGATGTGACATCCTAATTTTGCAAGAGATGTGGAAGTCAAAACTGAGATTCTGCTGTTTCCTGTATAGACATTTGCAGTAATAAATCACTCTAACATGTGAAATGTGTAGCATTTCTTACCCTTTTAACTGGGCCACGTTCTCACCTAAAGGCAAACATTGTGAGCAAGAACATTGATGGGGGACTGGTTCTTTACTCTTCCAAATAACAAAATTCCTGCACATTACTGCTCTAAATTTAGTTGATTTCCACACAAATTTATCACACCTTAACTGTGTTAACATAAATATGAAATTATAGTAATTAATTAAGCAAGAAAGTTTCCTTAGTCACTTGTCTAGCTGCAGTCCTATGGGAAGAGTGCAATGTGAGACTTAGCAGCAAGTCTCAAGAGAGAACTCTTCATTCTAAAGCACTTAGTCACAAGAAAAATAATAAAAAATATATTAAAAAGAACTCTATCCTTGTTTTCAGGTCTTCTGAAGTCCCACATTGCTGAAGAGGACAATGTTTAATGAGCAATTAAAGATTCAAGTAAGGTGAAGATGCTTCTTGGAGCTGTGGGTTCTCTCATCTCTGGCTGATTAATTACTAAACAAGTAGTTGTGAGCTCAGAGCTCACTAGTGACTAATTCCAAATGTGGGGGTCACAGAAAACCCCATTTTTAAACAGAGAAGCTTTGACAGAAGTAATTTTATTTAAAGTGGCAAACAATCAGACTCCTGCACTGACTGATTCAAATCAGGTTTATAAAGGTCATATTAGGGTACAGCTCTAAAGTTTTACCATAGCAAATAAAATTTTGAATTTCTCCTATAAAAGGGAAGTCTTGCCTTGCTCAAGTCTTTAGAGTTTAAATTAATTTTTCATTCTATTAACATTCAACATAATAGGATACAATGGTCCCCAAGGCATTCTTCATAATACACTTTGTACAGTGGTTTGCAAATGATCTTACTAGTTAATGGAACTATAAAAATTACTTGCACATAAAGGTCAAGAAAAATAAAGATAAGTATATACTTTCTGACACTGTCCTGTTCAACACTCAGCCCCTGGAGTAAAGAAAACTTGTCCTAATGCAAGGAATATAATTCCTCCCAGTATAATAGCTCAAGTACTTCAACCTTTGGAATTCCAGACTTTTTATGTCTGCATTTTCCCTCAACCACTTCACTTGAGCAATCCAGCACCTCATTGATCAGTGTATTATTAGCATTCTTGGCATGAGTTTGACATCAGTTTGTAGTTTGATTCAGCCTGGTAATAAAATGACCTACATCAAAGCCCTGCCAAAATGCCATCTTTGTCGCAATGTGTTTAGCATGAGTTATTTGCCCACATTCAAGGTTACACAGCAACTGCTCCTTATCATGCAATAAAGGCAACAAAAGGGTTCTGTAACAATCCATTTGATGCTTATCACTTACTTTATAATTACAGACTGGCCTTTTTTTAACATATAAGGTCAATCCCCAGGGAAATAGACCTAAAGATTAAACTCTTTTCACACCTGAAACGGCTGCACTGAGGAATGGATATTAGAGAAATGGATTCCTCTAACACTAGTCTTTATTCTTTAATTGTTGCCCAGAATTTGAATTCAGATATGATAGATGGTTTGTCTGTGTCTCCTCTCCACAAAGGTGTGAAGTGGCCAGAATATTGCAATGAGGAAAAGAGCTCAGTGGAGCACACTGCAGAATATTTCCACTGCAGAGTTCCTTCAGCTAAGGGGCACCACAGAGAATTCATCCCGGACAAAAGCAGGGATGGAGAGTTGCTCTGTCTTCCTTGATGCTGCATTCCTCTGCATGGACCCAAATTATGATGTTGCAGGGTTTAACTGTTTTTACACCCACTGTGATACCCTGCTCATCGCATCATCCACCCACTGACTGCCAGCACCCACTGAGCTCCACAATCTGCCTCTTTCCCAGAGGTTGAGGTGCATAGGGAAGAGTTTCATCCTAGGGAAACTAGTATGGAGTGATTAACTTGAAAAAATTTCGTTGTCTAAAAATATAACCTGTGCATTTATTTCACAAATGCAGACTCACAAACAGCCTAATTTGTGCTTGCATTGAAGTGTGGTAACATTTGTGGTGGTCCTTAGAACCTGTGGGAGTTCACAGCTACCGACCCGGCAACTTCCATCTGCCATTGTCCCACTTTGCTGTGCCAGAGAAGCAAAATATTTCCAAAACAAAGAGCAGGATAATTACAAAGTGTGAAGGACCCAGAGCAGAACAGAAATCAGGCTGCGTGAGCTGTGCTCGCTCACGGCAGCGCGTGCTGCTGGAGAGCAGTGCCGGAGCATTCCGTACACGCTGGAGTTTCCTGGGCTCTGTGGGATTCCTGCCCAGGATCATAGAGCAGCCAGGAGGTGACAGAAAGCATAAATAACGGTAGATACATTATGATAATGGAAAACATTGCTAAATGGAGATATGGATGCTGCTATGAGACACAATGAGAAATTCAGGCACTCGCCTGGAACTGCACAGAATGAACTGGTTTACTTGGACTGCACACATGGCACAAGGTCATTGCCTCAGAGTATCTTCTTTTCTCTGTCTTACCTCTGCCACGTTTTCTTCACTGTACACTCATCTTGCCCCAACTCTGACCAATTTCATTTATTTCCTGTGAACCAATGGTAAACATACATTTTTTCTTTTATGTTGCTGGTATTTTAACTTCAGATTATTTAACCAGTTCACTCCATGCTTGAAAGTTGTTGGACTAAACAAAGCAGAAATTTAATGCAAAAAATGATGTTTTCCTTAGTATTTAATACGTCTCCCTGAA